TCACCCCCAACTGCTCATGTGCCATTTATCCTTATGTTTATCCATTGAGTTCTCATAGTATTTCTACTTCTATATTAGAAGGATGTGGACATATGTTAGAATGTCCTCTCTCTCAATTTCTTAAAATCTGAATTATTATATGTATCAGCACGTGGCTCTATTTTTCTGGATTATTCCCAGTCAAAAAGGCAACATCTTCAGATTATGTAGCTGCCATTTTTAAACCTTTCCCTGTATTTGGGAGAGCTAAAATGTAAAGTCAAATGAAAAGAAGCATCTTAGAATTTGGGGGGGTTGAGTTTTTATACTTTAAAAGAGAGAAGATCATGCCCTAGTCATGCAGTGTTTCCTTCTGTTCCTTTCAAGGTCAGCTGCAATAGCTCCTTTTGCTGGTGAGCTAAATAGAGCACACCGTCACAGTACAATGGTTTGTTAGCTCTGCTGTATGGCAGATACATCGCCAGCATCCTTATCCCCAGACTTTTGAACGCAAATGAGTGATGTCTTCTAGATGGGCTATGATGTTGCTTTACTCGAGTTCCCTTTTCTTAGTTCCTGATTCCAACTGTGTTTGACTTCAGTTTTGTCTTTTCTTGTTCATCCTTTCCCAATATGTCATCGTGATCCATAATTTTCAAATAAAAGGTTCCTGAAGGACTCTACCTACATATCTACAATAGGCTGCACAGGTTTATTTTTTCTCCCTGCTGCTCTTTTGCTAAGTCTCTTTCTGAGTAGCTCTGATTCAAACGGTCTTGTTTCAAAATGAAAATCTGAATCGTATACAGAGTTAGACATTCCTGAGCCCAGATTGTATTCGGGGGGCACCATTATTAGCAAATTGCTTTATTACTTTTCAGCCATTTTAAATTATAGCAGTTAACTGGTGGTTTCTTGATAGAAGCTCAAGACAACCTTTTTTTTCTTCACTAACTTGCTTTTTCAGAAGCAGTATTTGTTTCCTTAGAAGCAAGTAGCTGATGAAATCATTTCTAGACAACTGGTGTCCTTATTGATATACAGAGGGAACATTTAAGTATAGGAACCACCAGTTGAACCATACAGGTAGGTCTGATGAGTGCAGTTAATGAATCCCACAAAATGGTCACACTATTCAAATTCACACTATTCGAAATGATATTTCTATGGAAAATATGGTAATTGGTTCCAGCTCAATGGAACGAGGCAATGAAAAATTTTAAACATAAATTTTTATATATATATTAATGAGATATTACAGTAAAATCAGTAAAATACAGATAAAAACAATATACTTATAATTTAAGTGTATGGTTAGCAAGTGATAAAGTAGTTATAGAAAGCAAAATAAAAACAAAAAAAAATCTACCATAGAATCAAGCATTCCAGCGTCTTGTCCTCTTTTAGCATTGCTATGACCACGTTCATGTTGTTTAATTACATCAAATTTTTGCTCTAATGTAATACGGAGACTCTTCTTTTTTAAGCTTCTACTGTTTTCCTCTGACGGAATGTTCTTTTTCTCCATTTTGCACACACGAAGATTAACAGCGTCTAAACCCTAACCGCAACTGTTCATGTGCTTGCCTCACATTAACTGAATTTTGGGTCGCATTAAACATGACCTGGTATCAATTTAAAAGTTGCACTAAATCAAATATCACATTATTTGAACTTGCACTAATCGTGACCTACCTGTACACAGAGCAGGGAATGACCACCGAGACAGACTCAGCAATGAGAAGTCCTTTTTGTACATTTCATATATTACTACCAGGGTGAAGATTTACAGAATCTTCAAGGCTCCTAAGATTGATAGGAATACAGATATGAAAGTCAGTACTGTTTCATTTTATTGCAGAAATCTCACGTGCCTGCTTTGAAAATCCCCGGAAGAATACAAGCATTTAATTTTACAATGCTATTTTTATATCATTATTTTTTTTAATTAGAGCTGCATGTTAAAGTTATTACAAGAAATGTTCTAGTTCACAAGTTTCAAAAGCCTGCAGGCTATACACATTCTCACAGTTACTACATATTTTACAAGCTTTAGTAGGAGTACTTAATGTCTATTAGATCATCCAAATGTAATGTGTAATGCAAATATAAAGCTCTGAAAACTTATGCAAGGCTTGACCTACCCATCAGTCTTTTAATCTCAATAGATGCCTTCTATCTTTTTAAATTGTCAAATATAATCTAATAATTGGAACCTTAACATTTGCTTGCCCATTTACATTGGCTGTAATGAAGAAATGTGGAGCTCCTCTTCCTATAAAGCCTGCATTCCCATCCCCTGTTTACTCTCTGTTGAGCACAACTGTCTCATAACTTGCTCTTTCTCATCTAATCTCAGATCATTTGGAAACAAACAGTTATATCTCATGAATAATATGAATGTTGTGTTCTTTCCAAGTCATCCTTGTGAATAGTTTTCCTAGTTTCTTGTGCTTTCAGTTGCACTCATTGCAAGTTATCTGCTTTTCATAGTAGCACATCCTCTTGCCCTTCAGAGGAGGGGATAATTTGCATTGATTTCATCCTCCTTCTCTTCCTGCTAGCTGTTGAGTACAACCATGATCTGATCCTCCCTGGCATTATGTTCTGCAAATTAAGAGTGTATTTCTGGGCACTAAAATGCCTTGCTCCCTACGGTTAGTGTGACTGGCCAGGTAATTCACCTTTTCCTCCTGTCATTCGGATGCATGCATCTAGGTGTATATCTATCTCAATCAGGAGTGTTTCAGGTACTAATTTGAGGCTGAACTGCCCAAGCGTCTCCATCCTCATAAAACATGATCAGAGCAAATGTTAGTGCTATTAGTCTTAATTAATATCAGTGCCAAGTGTAGTTTGTACACTGTCTGAATAGGTTCTGTGCTCTTTCTCTCTTAATCCAAAGACTGGAGAAGATGCAGCCCTTGATCCACTCTGCTTTCCATTCTTCACGTGCATCCACTGATTTTCTCTGAAACTTTTTCCTCCAAGGTGCTTAAAAATAATTATTTCCCAAGGGCTCCAGAGATCTTGTGCTTTTCCCAGGGCCTAAATTCTGTTCTCCTACTTTTATTCTCCAAGTTAGTTATCTACTATGTTATCTGTTCTTAGTTTTTCTACTCCAGGCAACTTAGTTTTTCTATTCCCCTAGATGTTTTAAAGGTCCTTGACCACTTTCAATCTTTAACTTTTATCCCTTTGAGTCAGTCTTGACTGCTAGCAGCTGCCTGGACCAATCCCTGCAGTTTTCTTGGCAAATTGTATCCAAAGTGGTTTGCCCTTGCCTTCTTCCTAGGGCTGAGAGACTGACTAGCCCAAAGTTGCCCAGCTGGCTTTGTGCCTAAGGCAGGACTAGAACTCACAGTCTCCCAGTTTCTAGCCTGGTGCCTTAACTACTACACTAAACTGGGTCTCCTCAAGCTTACCTAGTCCTATCTTAGGGATTGACTAACTCTGTGCATACCCAAAGGACATGTTTTAGTCAGCTCTTTGCATGTCATTCCCAGCTAGCAGCTTGCTCAGGTGAATTAGCACAATCTCTGATACCCTTTAATAATTTCCTTCCTGTTTTGAAAATGAAAACCCATCATTTTACTTAGCCAGTCTTCCCTCCATTTCCACTATCAAATTGGTGTGTGTGTGTGTGTGTAATATTTGTTCATGTGTCTGTATATGTATATATACCTAGTTTAATGTTCTCCTATGAGTAAGCAGTTACCTGCTAATTAGAATGTATTATTTCTTCATGTTGATTAAAAAACATCCATACAAATAGTTTGTCTCTCATAAATCCAACCAAAATACACTCCAAGAAGTGAGTAGAATTATTTCTAACTTATAGTTGTAATCTCAGCTGCACAATGGTTTTCCTTCTCCTTGCCACCCTGGTAGTTGTGCTGTTAATACCTTGTAATTAAATGTCAATGTTGTTCTATTCTGTGTGCTAAAAAAAAAAAAAAAAACAAACTAAAATTCCCCAAAGAAAATTAAAATTGCTTGCTCAGTGACTGTACATTAGTACCACTTCACTGGGGACCATTTTGGAAGAAAAGTGGCATTGAGAATTGCAGCCGTTTATACACCAGAACTTACATTCAGAGGCTCTTCTCTAAGTATCCTCATCAGATTTTCTGTGGTGGCAGGGAAGAAGGCCTTCTCTTGGATGGTGTCCTTGAGGAATGCTCTCCTCAAGGATTCTTGCCTGAAACCCGCATTGTTATTTTTTCAGTGTTCAGTAGTTCTTTTTATTTCTCAAGGTTTTTTAAAGAACTTCCAGCTCTAAATAGATTTTCTTTATGTTGCTTTTATTTGCTGTTTTAATTGTTGCTCTTTTTATGTATTTAACTGAATTCTGGTATTCAATCTAATTGGGCTTAGAATATTTTAAGTCATTTTTTATTTCAAATTAAGCTCTATATAAACAGTGCTCCATGTTAATGTGTTTTCTGTAGTCTTTCATAAAGCAACAAATACTACATTGTAAAAAAAATAAAGAGGAAAATTATGGAAGATATTATAAAATGCTAAGACAACTTTTAACATAGATATTTGGGAAGTTATTTTTCAATATTTGAGCTGCTGTAACTTCAGGCAGACCTAATCTGACACATATCATGTACAGTGGAAGAATATTATCTGAAAGCTAGCAGCATGATATTTATTATTAAAGTTGTATTTGCATAAAATTACATCATATAGAATGTACAAAGTTATTGTTTTGATATTTTAATAACTTTCTATTTCTTTTTAATAAAACAGGAATATATTTTGCCCCTATGGCTGACAGTTTGCAAAACTTTAAAGAGTATATTGAAAACCTTCCTTTGATTGATGACCCAGAAGTATTTGGAATGCATGAAAATGCCAATTTAGCATTCCAGGTGCGAATATACTCAAAATAAATGTTCTAAACTAATTTAAGATCAATTCTGTTGTATAGCACAGTGTAAAAGGATGACTTTACTAGTGTTAGTCTGTTCCACAAAAATAACAAGCAGTGATTGTAGCATTCTTGCTAAAATGTGTCCATCCCTGAAATTACTGAAAGAATACTCAATTATTTAAAAGTTTTCTTTTCAGTCATCTTAAAAACCGTTATGGTATATGCTAACCATATTATATTACCAATAATATGTATACCAATAATGTTGTCTAATCAATTTAAAATTCTGCTTAACAAAAGACCAACTTCAAACTTACACTGACCACTTACAGTATTGTTAAATAAAATCTTGTATTGTATGCTCACTGAGTTCTAACACAGTTTCTCTGAAGCTTATTTTAAATCATTCATTAAAAATCATCTTAACTATTATCGGTGGAGTGACCAACGTTTTAAATTCCAACATCTCCTAGTCCTCTCAGCATGGGGCAGGATACCTTTACGGTTGGTAGAAAACTGAAGCAATCTGCAAACAGAACAAATCCACTCCTGGAGTCTAAAATAAAAATCTTAGTTCAAGGGCAAGATTGCCTTGGGAGTATTTCAGGTATCTCTCATCTGTTATGCAGCCTGACTCCTTGTATAGTATAACAACAACAACGTAAGGCACTACCTTGACATGGTTGTGGGGCTTCTGTGCTGTGAGGAGGATGAGAGTTATGCCAGAGCAACAATACTGGACAGGTCTGATCAGAGGAGCCAGACAAAGAGTGTCTCTCCCATAAACAATATGGTGAAACATAATTTACAGAAACCTATACCGGATCAATCATCACCCGGGTCAACAAGGACTGTGCTAGGTGTTTGTGTTACCTGTCACAAATATATGAAGACTGAAAACAAAGAAATAAGGATCTGCTATTATAAATCAAGTCCACTGAGAAGAGGATATCTGAAAAGAATGCACCAGTTTTGGAAAGAACAACATCCAGAATCAAAAATAACAGAAGAGAGGCTAGCAGATCAACGTTGATTTATAATGCGAAATAAAGTATTCACAGAAGTAGAATTGGAAGAACTGCAAAGCTCTACCCAGGGCAAAGAA